TATATGCATGCTGTATATATGAAAATTTGATATAATTTATTTAGGAAGTCACTCAAGTATCTGGAAAAGGAACCGACAAATAAATAAAGTCTTCGGCAATCGTTTGGTCTCAGTTTACAAAAGTTTTAATTTTTTAAGAATAGTTAACAGTATTTTTGTTTGTTACAGTATCTCGTCGATAATACAATAAATTGCGATAATCGTAGTGCGTACAAACTAACAACGAAACAAAAATGGATCTGGAACAGAAACGCAACGTCTTTCGAAATGAATGTGAGAACAACGTGCTATCTTTCTCTTTTTTTTATACATATATATAAATATATACATTTATATAAATTTATATATATATATAAATTTGTGAATTTCATCTCTTTCGCCCTCGTAGGTTCTCAGTCCGTCTTGATTCTTTCATTGGATCAGGGGGGCAGCTTCTCTCTCGAGAGTGCAATTAATCCAAATTTACCGTGTATAATAATCAATATATATATATACACATCATTTATTCTTACATAGAGGATCTTTCGGTTTCGATATATAATACAATTTTTTTCCAAATTACGTTCCGTGCAACGCGTCAGCGGTCGATCACTGGCCGAATGTTCTGAACCGAGCTAATATCGGCAGACGAACTGAGCGGAAAGAAAAGCACACGCTTCGCTCGAGAACTGCGAGAACGCGTGCAGTGGATGTTTCTTAAAAACAATGCGAACATAAGTTAATTATGCGGCGGCGACGAATGCAGAGGCGCGAATAGTTACATCGCTAGTCGTCTCGCTAGCGCAATATAATTATTCAAGCGGCTCTGTGCGCATTGCTTTTAAAAAAGAAAATGTCTGTCCTAGACTAACGTCACGACCTTTATCTTATCAATAATTAATTTCTCGCATCCGGACGAAACGGTGTGGTAATAAAAAAGATGTAGGGAGATCATTTCATCCTCCACGGAGACAGAGTCACAACACCTTGCCCGTCGCACGTTTCGGAAAGTTGTTTACATCATGTACGCACGATCACGACAAAAATCTGCATTTAAAAAGTCTGATAATAGCTGTCATATTTTATATGTACATATTTTGTTTAGTATATATTGGTGCAATATTACCGAACATAATAGTAACCAAGTGTAATAATTAAAGTAAGATAATATTTAGAGAAGTAAGATTAGCACTCAGTTGATTTTATCAACATTTGATAAATTACTTCATTAAAGTTTAACACTGTTAAATTCATGATCAATTATATCCACGTTAATTTGTATTATTGTTATTTTTAATCAATAGGTCGCTATTCTTCAATATATCGTTAATTTAACTAAACAAAAAACAATGGAATTAAATAATTTAATTTAAGAAAATGTGTTAAATTTCAGATTGAAATTTAATTTATTATTTACTAAATGTATAGCTCTTTAAAACTCTAACCACAGAAATAGATTGATTTACATTTTGACACATATAGAAGTTAAAAATAACAAAATGTTATTTAACTCAAGGAATGGGTTACCATTGCTCCTTTGACATTTAACAATATAATAATTGTTATTTAGACTTAATTATTATTATTAGATTTTTTGTCAATATGCCGGAATCATACGACAAAATGTAAAATTGCGTTCCGAGTAATCGCGCCAGCGGAACTCCTCGAATGCTGCTCCTCGTCAAAAACCGCGGAGTCTTCATTCGCTGAGAAACGGAACGAAATATGAATTACATCTAACTATACCTGCCTTCACCTCGCGTGGCGTGGAGTCATTTTGGTAAAAATCTCTAGGCTAGTTCTTTCTACGCCGGATACTCGGTACTGCGATTGATTTGTTTCCTTCGGACATTCTGCACCCTCGACATCTATGCGTTTTTTCCTTTGGCAGATGCAAGTCCAAGCAGAGGATTCATGCGCGAATATCCCGCGTGAAAGTGCCCATGAGCTTATTTTCGCGGTCGCGAAACCAGAGGCTCCTCAGCGTCGCGGAAAGGGTTGAAAAACTGGAGAACCCCCGGTTTTTGCACCGCCTACACTCTCCCTCACGTGTTTCTCTCCTCTCGCGCTCGTTCTTAAGTTGCTATGAATTACTTCCTTATTATTGTTACTGTCGTTACAATGCTTCACTATCGTAAAATGCTATGATACAAGTAGACTCCGTCCGTCTGTTTTCACGGTTTAGTTATGATTATGACTTCTATCGTATTTCAGTTTTACAGTTTGACTCCACTATGGTTACCGCTGTGGACATCCGCTATTCTGCAAACGGTAAGATGATTTCTTACGAGAAACGTCGTGAGATTTAGATTTTCTTAGATAGAATATTTCATTCTTTTCTCGTTTAACCTGCCGGATCTGACGTGGATCCACTCAATTACATCCGTCCGGAGTTGACAGTAGGTTCATTGGCGGCCCCTATGAAGTGATTGTTTGTATAACAAGGAATCTGACGAGTAAAAAAATAAATCAGCTTTCTTTGCGAAACAATGTTTACGATAAAAGATACATTATTATATTTGAATTTACTATTACTTTTTTTAATTCTGGTATTACTATAGCAATTGCCATTTTACACAAAAATGTCAAACAATTTAATTTTCTTTACGTTTTAGCTGCAAATTAGAATTATTTTAATTAAAATAAACTTACTATCCATTCTTTTTTAACGAATTATGTCATTTCGACTCTTCGAAATTAGTGTCTTTTAATCAATATACATTAAATGGATTTCACAAGCTCTCATTGTCAGTAACTGTGTTATAGCGTGTTATTTGGCGTCAATTCTGAGCGGTTAAAGGAGAAATGTCAAAGGCCTATCAGGATTTTAAAGAATTGTTTGAAGGACGTGGTAAATTAATCTTAACGCGCTTTCGAATTCAGTTTTGCAGAATAAACGGTATGTCAGGGTGCACTCGTGCAAAATACGAGAGAGGAACGGTTTGGACGCGCGTCGTCGAGTGGGATGCGAACGCGTGAGAGAGAAAGAGAGAGAATGTGTTAAAACTTGGACGATAATATCATTACATTCAGATGAGATGACGATACATGATGAAGTAACTACGGGATCGACGCGCGTTCGTGCCGTTCCGCGCCGTTGATCGGCCGATCGTATCGTTGTTCAATCGTTCGGCAATGCGATTGCAACGGAGACTCACGTTAATTTTCATTCTCCGTCACGATGCGCGGCCCCGAACGCGTCCAGAGAATGTCCAACAATTGTTTTTCAGTTTTGTACACAAAATACCAACTATCTGTGCTGGAAAATGCACATACTGCTTGCACGCGTCATATCTATATATATATATACATACACATATCTATGTATATATATATATATATATATATTTATATGTATAATATTTATATATGTATATGGTGTATTGTTTTTGCATTTAGAGCGCGCCGTTATCTAAAAATTAGTATTTATAAGTATTCACCGTTTACACATTGCGTAATATCGTGTAGCGTGTAGCAGTGGACTCTCTCCTATCACGGTGTTTTACAATATGCGAATATATGTATATATTTATATATTAATATGTACATACATAAAACCATTCATTATTAGACATATGTTTCGCATTTCGTGCTTTTATACTTCTCTTGCCTTTGCTCCACGCTCAGAGAGTGGACGCTTCGAACAGATGGGATATGAAACTACGTTCGAGAACGTACGTCGTTCTACGGTCGATACAGCCCTTTTCTTTTCTCATTTGAAAATAGTTATTTATTTTTTACATAATATTTATACAAATGATTTAAAAGTGATCCGTCGACAATGACGTTGAATTTATTTTTACATTTTTATGTGAAAATTGCATCTCACATCTTTTTTTCTTCAAATTCGATATATTTGATGAAGAATTCACATGATACTTTAAACCTATCTTCTTCTAAAAATTTTATGAAAAGCCATCGCAATTATGCCTTTTTAATATTAAATTTTAATTTCGAGTAACATTCCTATTAAAATCTCAATGAGAAAGAAATTGACTGAAGAACATATTTCGTTATTTATTCAGATTTAATTTAACACGAGAGCTCAACTCTTCTCATTAGTAGTAACTTCAACGCTGAATATTCTAATATGAAAAAACGGTTGCAGTTTTCTAGATTTAACTTCTAGTGTGGACACGAGACTCTTTGTGGCGGTCTCTTATGAAAATGTATACAGGACAACGTAAAGATACATTTTCGAACGTAGCTCAGGGAAAAAGACTCGCAGAGACGCTCCATTTAAATATTTCGACCACTCTCTTCCTAAAATATTTATTCGTAATCGTAATCTATCTCTCACACACACACACACACACACACACACACACACACTTTTTTCTCACTCACTCCCACCTGTCTCTCCATGCATATTATTCACATGTTCTTGCGCGGGCATGCATTCATACCGACCCAGGCAATCCGGAAATGGATATATTTGTCGACTACATGGTAGCCACAGCGCTCGACCAATGGAACGAGAGAGACACTTTAATCTCCCTGCTTATTATTTTATGACGTTCCTTATGACGTGTTTCTTCGTGGTATTTCCCGAAGGTAGAGGCGTCTCATCCTTTATACCTTCGACGACCTCGAAGTTGACGAATTAATATCGAACAGCTGAGTTCACCGACGGGTTAAGAGAAAGATCGACACATTACACACCGATCCTCTCACCCCATTGGACGATCGTTAAAAACTAGGATTTCTAAACGAGGAGAGGAAAAGTAGACTGTCGACCGCGACTTCATTTTACTCACCGCTGCCATAGATTCACCTGTCGCGTAAGATCATAGCTCGCGATCTCTATCTTCTTTTTTCTTTTGGCTTCGCTCGCGGGTTCTCCAAAACAAGGAGATATGATGAACCTCCGTCGCGTCAACGCCGACGTGAGCAGGAGGGTCGGTCTCGCATAACTGGGGTAGGTAGGATAAAGCGGAGTGGGGATGCAAGAAGCTTCCAGGAATAAGCGTGCAAGACATCGCACATCGAGGCACGTGTCTTCTCGTCTTTTACCTTTTTTACTCTTTTTTTTTTTCTTCCTTTGTCGTTGGGCTTCGTTCTTTCGATCAGCTAAAGAATCTAGATACAAATTTGCGCGCAACATGGCGATTTGTAACGCGACTACTTTTTTTTTTCCCTCGTTCTACTCTCTGTTGAGAACGAACTTGAACGAGTTTCGATACTAAAAGCTCGGTCATTACCAAGCGTCAGTTAGTGCTAATTCTGCCTAATTCAATGTTTTCTTCTCCATCAGTATTATAGACAGGACTATAATTAGAACTACAATCCACTGTTGATTCATCAGATTGCTTTTACATGAGCAGAGTAATTATTGTTGATGCTCCGATGATGCAGTTAATGCGAGCATAAATTAATTTGATAATAAATGGCCGTGAATCCTGGGTTTCAACGATATATTTCTTCAATTATCGGGCCATTGAAGTATAAACATATTTTTCAAAATACGCAGCAAATACGTATGTATTCACTGTAAATGCATTTAACCGTATTTTTTTTTAAATTCATTATGAATTTATTCGCACTCAACGAATACGGAACAACAACCGATTTTCGCATCTGCTCTTAATGAATTTGTTAATATTGCCGCGATCAAAGCACGCGATCGAAATTAACGAGGACCATAGAGCGTCCCTATAGCGATATTATCGATATAACAATGATGATAATAATACTCACTAATGTACACGCTACCTACTCCTCTGTACAAAGTTTAATTGCACAATACATTTCTGATTTCCCACGAACGCGAAGTGTGTGTGTGTGTGTGTGTGTGTGTATGTGTGTGTGTGTGCGCGTGTATATGTCCAATTTTATTTTTTTTTTAGATAATTATCGTAAGCGCTTGCTCCTCAAGGCAGCTCTACGAGAGAGTGATACCTGGCAGTAAAGGAAAACAGTTTTGTCGATCGAACAGTTGACCGATTGTCATAGATACTAAATGACTGTTTTCATTCCTCGCACGATGTATACGAAGAGCTTAACGAACTATGCACGCAATAGTATTAGTGAAGTCCCAAGCAATGAATACTCTACGCGAATCGCGCGAAAATCGTGAGAACATGGAATTATCGTAAATCACATTTTTCGGACATCAGCCGAATCTTAATCATTAAAAATGAGGGGTATATCGAAAAATGATTTTGCGGAAACTCTCTGCTGTTCATTCGTCAACGTATAAAAATATTAATACTAAAACATTTTTTTTAACTAAACCGAACTCACTTTACTCGACGAGATATATCGCTTGTAATGTGATGTACCTCCCGTTTGATCCTCGAATAATCGTTACAGAATTCGAGTATTCTTTTTCTGTGATATTAACGAGATATATCACATATCTCTGTTACAATGGCTCGAAACTTGAGAGACATTTACATACATATACAATGATGCCAGGTGACACTGATGAGCTAGCTTGATTGCAAAATGGTGTTTACATGTTTAAGGGTATGTTCACACGCGCGCTCGTAATGTCCATATAATTACGCTCACGCTTAATTTCAAGCACGATTAATTTGCACGCGATTAATCTGTACATCCTTATGCATCGGTATGCATGTGACACGCGCTTCCATTGTACGTAATAATCTCTTTATCGCTAAAATACATTCGTAACAGACGTGTCTCACGTCCCTTATATAATTCTTAAATATATTGTACAACGAAGAAAAATAATTTAAAAAAATTCATAACAAGAAATATCAGTTATGAATGAGACAGGATACGTAATTAAAAATGACTTTCGATCTTATTCAGCTTAAACACGCCGGACACACATGGGCGTCTCGATAAAAAAGTCTTATTTACTATACAACGTTTTGATTTTCACAACGGCAAAGCTTTCAAGAGCTAAACCCGAAGGTAGATCTGTAGTTTTTTTTTTTTTTTTTTAGTAAGCTTCAATGATGTCGTTTAATGCAGAAAGAGATATTTGCGCGTAGCGTACTTACTTGAGAATTTGCCGCACAAAGTTTTAAGAATATTTCAAGATATCTTGAGAATACAAACGCCTTGACGCATGTACTATAACGAGATCAGCGTCGAAGATACAAAGATGAAGAGTAGTTGAGTAGATGTCGGAAAGAGCGTAAACAACTGCTCGGCTAAGCACGGGTGTGAACGACCCTTATGAAAAGAAATCGGCGAGCGACCCGCCAAGTCCTCTTCGATGGGGTGGCGAGTCACCCTATCACAATCTTCGTCGACGTCATAGTGGCGTTTGTCGTTGACGTGTATAAATGACGATGATGGAAGAAGTGCCAGTAGATGATGCTTGGCGACAACGACGAACGACACGACGCAGCAACGTCAAAGAAATCACCGTCACGATCGGACGAGTATCGCGCGTTCCGGCTTTAGATCCGGAAATAACGATAGCCGATTTTCTCTCCCTTCTTTCTTCACCCAGCTTCAACACGAAGCCACCACACTGCACCTTCACGTATACCCGCACCACACTGTAGCACCTCAACACATTGCAATTGTCATGGCCTATGGAACCTGCAATTGAAAACCAAAAGTATTAGTTATGAAAATATCGCAACTCGATATATCGTCACATTGAATAGAAAAGTGACATATCTCAAAATTAGCAAGTTTTCAAAAAATGTTTAATTGGAGCAACATTTTAATTAGGATAGTAAATATGCATATATTTTATAAGTTATAAATTTTTACTAACATTGACAGACTTTAATCTTCAAGAGATCTTCCACCAGATAATTAAATTGTATCAAACATAATTTCATTTTGATAATTTAAGATGATTTCATTATACGTGCTCTAATACTGCGATTTTTACAAAACTGCATATATTTCGTGGAGCATTTTATCGAAATGTTGAGATGGTGCTAAATGTGCTTTTAAAGTGATGCTGCTATAAATTCGTAGAGCATCAAGTACCTGGTGAGGTGTCGGCTGTCCTCGTGAACGGCCATCTCCGAACTCTTGAACTCGTTTAACTCCTTCCTAATAGCAGCCTTGTCCTTCGGAGTTAACCGCGTCCAAGGCTTGTCGGCTCTTCTATCGTAATCGTGAGCCTGCGTTACCTCGATATAGTCGTTGAACCTGATAATCTGCAAAACGAAGAGGAGAAGATAAGTATATCGGTTTTTGCTTTTATAGCTTTATCATCGTATAGCTTGCGAGACTCTTATCAGAAAGAAAATAGCTTCTCCGTAAAATGAGATACGATAAAATATTGGTTGAACTTAAACTCGGCGATATATCTTTTGGTGTAACCAATCTCTATCTTTAAAAAATAGGTAACGTAACAAAAATCCGCGAGGCTTTACAAAGGATCTTTTTTCCTTTTACCTTTTTCTCCTTGAGCTCCTCAACGGTCGGTCGGAAACTCAGCTTTCGCAGCAGATAACGTTTTTTCTCCTCCTTTTGCTTCTTTTCCTCGGCGGGGCTTTGCTCTAAAAAGGAGCGAGGAAAAATTAGAATTAGATTTTAATTCGCAATTAGATTTGGCGAAGCAAAAACTATATTCAATTACAGTCTTATTTCGAAAATTAAAAAACGTACATAATTTTTTACATTTAAGAAATTTTCTTTTAAATTTAGCTTTAAAATAATATTTTAAAAATTAATCTTGGATTTTTTTTTCTTGATCGTCGTTCATCATTAAAGGGAACGGATAGAGTGATTGACTTACTTTTCAAAATGTTCCTCTCTTCAAGTTCCTCCTGAGTCGGCCGCATGCTCAGCCGCCTGAAATGAAAATGGCACGAGTCAATGCAAGTTCATCGGCCGCTTTAATCTTCCTTTGCGAGTGAGAGAGATATTTGAAGGAGAAAGCGAGGCATTCGCTTTGTGCAAACAATGTGATTCACCGCGGCCGAGACCACTCGTCCTATTATTCGCGCGTAATCTTTACGAGAAACAGCTGTTATTTCAAGCTCATTTTCATATGAGCTGGATCAGTCAGCGACAGACTGACATCGATAGAGGAAGAAGGGAAAGAAGAAACGAATATTTTAGAAATTATTATATACGCAGTTCCATTGTAACACTGAAAAATGATTTTAACAATGAATTATTCTTTAACAAGAGAGGAATAACAGAGAAATTTGGATTTCGAATATTAAACGGCAAAAAGATTATGAAGCTTTATCGATATTATATTTCATGCTTTTACAGAGCTTTCATTAAATTACACGTGAAGACATTTTACAGTAATTATATTTTCATAATCATATTTTCATAAATCAACTGACAGTGTGACTGTTGAACTGAAAATTTATACGATTTCCTAACTCACCAGAGGATCCCTCGAGATTTCTTAAAGTAGACCGTTAGTTAAACGTAATTTTAAATTAGACGTAGAAGATTCGTTACGACGTGCCAATTTGCAAGCGTCTTTAACGAAAATAAGCAAACTCGATTCGAAATCCTCTTATCCCTGATGCGATCACGCGAACGCTATCTAATAGACTGCCGAACAAGTTTCTCACCTGATAAGCTTGGCGCCAATGGCCTCTTTCGTCTCCTGCCTCTCATTGTCTGTCTGCAGTTGAAGGATGTTCCTGTTGATGAGCTCCTGTCTGTCTGGCCTAAGGGCGAGCTTTAGCGAAAGTGATTCCTTGCGCGCGATCTTGGCTGCCAAACGGCCTGTCGAAACAGAAGGTATCGAATCTGCGTTTAACTTATTAATCTGCTATTCGAATTACTGCATCTCGATTCATCGTAAAATGAGGTAACTTATAAGAAGCTTAGTCATACACAGGATAAATTTTTTGATTCAAATTTTAATGCTTAGCATGCATGTCCAAATTCAGGATATATCTTTTAAAAATGTATTTTTATTTGCCTAATTGTTTTTTTTTTTTAAATTTCGAGAGTCCTTAATTGCTTTTTGTTTTAAAAACAAAATTTAAAAAGCTTTAAAATATTTTTAATATACGTCTATGTTTCAATTTTTTGATATGCGTACTGTCTGAGAATCAAAGCTACTCCGATTTTTGACCAAAATTATCTCATTTTACGGTATGTGGAGAAAATTTCGTTTTATCAGACAATCATACAAAAATGAGACACTCCACAGAAATTAATAAATGGAAATAAATTACAATAAATCATTTCATATATGTTTTTAAAGCAATGTTGGAAAGACGACCAAACTTAATCAATGTCGATAAAACAGATTTTTAATTCGAATTAAAATAATACATACATTAAGTAAAACATTACGTACATTAAATTTTATATAAATTAGTTAAATACGGGAAAGTATTTTTTTGTTTGAATATTTGCATTCGTTTTATATGTGAAGAAAGAAAATCTACATGGTAATAGAAATCTGTAGTTAACAATTTTTTGGGAATTCTCATATCGGTTTGTACTTTTCCGCATTTATCTGTGTTTTTCCTTTTATTCTGGAAAAGTAATCTTTATTCTGTATAAAGAAAACGAAATGAATGTTCCGTCGGTAACTCCAGCATCCCCTAGTTTTTCCACTTTTAAATTTTAGAATAGAAAAGGTTAAAAAAAAATCGAAAAAATAAAACAAACAAAAAAGCGAATAAAGTATGAAGAAAAAAAAATTTTTTAATTTACGAAAATTAAATTATATTGTGTTCACTCTCACTTTCAAAATGGTCATCATTAAATATAATTACTTTTAAAACGATGAAATTAAGAATAAAAATTTCAAAACTTCACTTTTTATTTCTGAATGTCAAGTTAACGATATCTGATAAGAGATCTATGTTTAGCACTGAAGCGTATGTACCTAACAATGTCGAGAAATTTAACTCGTTATTAATATGCTGCGGATTGAAGAGAGAAAGTTGAAAACGCTGATTTGACAAATTAATTTCTTTTCCTTCTTTTTTTTCTATGAATTTAAATTAGCGTATAAAGCCTAGAATGAATTTTGCATAGACATTGACCAAAGTGCACGTCGATATTAATTAATTTCGCGTCCGATCGCATGTCGCAATTGCTGATTAATTACCCTCCACGATCGACGAGCAGCTGAAGCTGCGATGCAACAGCAGCGGGGCGTGTTCGGCCGGTTCGATTGAGGCGCAGACCATCGACACCGTCGACGCGGTCCATATCGACAGCATCGTGTTGTCATCGCTCTCGCTCTACCTCTTTTACGAATGCGATTTCAGTCCGAAAAGCGTGTTCGAAGGGACCGAAATCGTCGCTTCGACAGTATTAATTACCGTCAGCCTTCGCAATGGCCATTCTGCGTCGCGTATATCCGCCACGTATTTCGGGAATTACTACGCTCTCGATCACGCCTTTCGAGAACAAGTCTGAAACTACGAGCGGTTGTACGAATTTAGGGATCGACAATTGACTTGAGGAAGAAATTTCACGACCGTGTCTATACCTACGTAATTTAATAAAAATTTAACGAGCGAAAATCGCGATAAATCCGGATGGAGGAACGACAACAGACTGAGCTACTTGCCAGCTATTTTCGGGATTAATATAAACCACCTCCTAAGTGTCCGCTTACAAACATATACATGCCATCTGGCACGAGTATAATTAGTCTGGTCGTTGAAGACTGATTTAAAGTGTTGAGTAATTGCGCGGATGTATCGTGAGAAAAATCAACGCGATGTTCCCGTGGAACATTTAATCTAAATACTCGTATTAAAAGCCGCTGGTCTTAGCAGATTATTCTTTTCAAATGCCGATTTATATGTAGTATCATCCCATTATAAATATTTAATCGTTTATGTTCAATCTCATAAAACATAACAGAGAATCGAAATACAAATAAAGAACTAAAGAGGAAATTAAAATTTCGTTTAAAAATTAAGCAAATTCCCACAATTGTCAGAGCGACAAATATTTTTCTTTAGTAATTTCCTAGAAATAAATAAACAACACAAATAAAAATAGTAGTTAAAACTGATTTTGCTCATTTTATTAGAACTAAGACATCGATTATCTAGCATGATGCACTTATGTACTATGAATTACGAACAAATTCATTTAGCAGAGTGCTAAATGTAAAAGCATGAATTTTAGATTCTTTCAGGGGTGCTTACATTGATTATTATTTGACGGCACGTCCAAGTTTCCACTTTCTTTTGAATTTTCTCAACTTCCGTAAATATTTGAAGGTGACTATTCGTTGAATTTCACCAAACTTCTTTTTTTTTTATTTCTACATTCCACAAAGTTTTTTTTGACATCTGCGACTAAGTTAGAGAGCTTTTTCTCCTAGCTGTATCCTCGAGATTTAGAGCGGTTCACCCGCATCTCTCTTTCCCCACATAGAAAAAGAGAGAATGCTATCGCGAATACAGCGTGAGACTATTTATGAATTCGTTCGGAAGTCCATTCAACTGAATCACGTCAGTGAGTTTGAAACCTCATATCTCGATGGAAAATTGCATAAGCGAAGGCGTGAAATAAACATGGCCCTGGCTTTCGCATAACTGCATTCGTGACCGCGCATTTTTATCGCTATGCACACAGGCGTGACGCGATTTAAGCCTCTGGTTGCTGTAGCGGAATTTTGATATAAATCTTTGAGAGCATATTTATTTTTCGCGAAAAACGATGCGATTGACTCAGCCGCGGGTCTCATCGATCTGTACGATCCCTAGTTTTTTTTTATCACGTAACGTCCATCAAAATTTCAAATTTGGAACTGGCGAAGCAACATAAAGTTACTATCTGCCTAATTGATTGCCCAGAGGCAAGCACGTGTTCCCAAAACATCGAGGAAAAATCGAGTTGCAAAATTCATTCTATTTACGTTGATTATCACGTTGTAAACTGTGCTGCAATATTGCTCATTTATTATGTTTCTCTTATGTTTGGTACACATTTTATGTAGTTTGTATAAACTAATTGATATCGAGTAATAATAATAATAATTATTATTTATCTCTCATTAATGATTAATTATCAATTAAGCAAGTTGTACAATAACAATTATTTTATTATAATTTTTAATATTTTAATTATAATTAATAATTACTTTAGTATCTGTGTATACGTGCCATACGCGACGAACTGTTTTTCGATGGGTAATCATATGACAGAACGCACAAACAAGATATGATAGTGACGATCTCATGAATCAATGAACAATTTTGCTAAAGTATCTAAAAAATTAGCTAGTTCCAGATCTGAAAGTAATTCTGTTGGACTATCAAAATAATTATACAGAATGTGCTCAAGTATGATCAGTAAAAAGTTTTGATATTCTGACAATCAGATTGAGCGTCATATATACTAATTGTAAAAAAAAGTCTAGCAATAGTTGTATTTTGACAAAAAAATACTAAATTTTAAATAAATATTTGTTCGAAATGAATATTTACTTAATGTATTTAACATATATGTATGTAACATATATTTAATTTATCATTTTTTTATTAAGTAAATATTTAGTAAATTTTACATAATAATAATAACCAACCGTCTGACAATAATTTATAGAAAAGTAAAATATTTAAAAAAGTAAAATTAGCGCTTAATTATGTGATTTTAATTAAATATTATACAATTGATTGAAATTGTTTTACGTTTTAACTGTCATCTAGGCTTAATTATTATTACCAGACTTTTCGGTACATAAATATTTTGATAGTTCGAGAAAAGCTATTTTCAGATTTGTATATCTAGTGAAATTTTTAGATGTTTGCAAAATCGTTCTTTCCGAGACAGGCAATTCGCAGGTTAAACATGTCACAAAATCGATAACGGAGTGACTCACTTTTCTCATCGTCATAATCATCCCTGTAGAGGACTTGTCCATCGCCGGAGTCGCCGTCCGCATCTTCTCGGATAACGTAAGGCCTCGCGTTCTCCTTGTTCTCCAGTGTACAGGGTAGAGCGAGGCCAAATCTGACCGGTCGACTGCTGAAAGAACGAAGCACATGCAAGATCGTTAGTGCGAATCTCTGGCGATACACAATCGCTGGTTGATGCAACGTGAACCAATGTTCTACTCTACGGTGCTACAAGAGAACGAGATGCGAATATGGGGTATATGCCGGGGTGGAGGAAGAAGGGATGGAGAGATGCATAGTGGCGGGTGACACGTCGAGAACAACGGGGGCGACGCCACGTGAAACGACAGAGTCTGTCGCGCGTATTTCGCTTGGCCACTCAAGTCCGGCTGTTACCATTCGACACGTTGAATGCTGCATATGCAAACTTTATTCTTTGTACACAGAAAGAGCAGTTTTGCTGAAGTATCGATTTTAGTTACACAGAAAGAATTTAGCTAGATACAGATTTGAAAATAATTTCATTTGAATCATCAAAACAATTATATAGAACATTTAAACTTTTATGACAATGATGCTACAAGTTTTAACATTCTAACAACCAGTTTAAATGTCCTACGTAATTATTTTGATCATTTAGACAAAATTATTTTCAAATCTGTATTAATTAAAATTTTTAATTCTCTTCAGGAAAAAAAATTCTTTATTTTTGTGTATACATCTAAAATAATATTGCTGATACATTAAAATAATTACATAAAATACTTAAGCTTTAATAACAATGTTGCTGAAAGTTTTAATATTCTGACATCAGTTTGAGCATTTATAATTAATTTGATTGTAGAAATAAAATTATTTTCAGATTTGTATTTAATTAAAAAAAATTGTTTTTTCTATGTGCAGATTTGAAAATAATTTTGTTTGACCATTAAAATAATTATGTAAAATGCTTAAGCATTGATGGCAAGGCTGCAAAAAGTTTTAACATTCTAGCAACTAATTTACAAATGATTTCGATGATCCAAACAAAATTATTTTCAACTTTGTATCAAGTTAAAATTTTAGTTTCTTTAGCCGTTCTTTCTGAGTATGAAAATTTGAAAATAATTTTGTTAGACCACTAAGATAATTATGTAAACCTTAAGCATTGATGACAAGGCTGCTAGAAATTTTAACATTCTAACAATCAGTTTGAACACACGTGTTAATAATTATTTTGATAGTCCAAATAAAATTATTTTCAAATTTGTATTTGGTTAAAATTTTAGATTCTTCAGCAAAACTGTTCTTTCTGAGTACCAATTTAAAAATAATTTTGTGTTGGACTATTAAAATAATTATGTAGAACGCTTAAGCGAGGATGTTGATGACAACGCTGCAAAAAGTTTTAACAGTCTAGCAACTAATTTGAGCGTCCTATATAATTATTTTGATGGTTCAAACAAAATTATTTTCAAATTTGTATCCAACTAAATTTTTAGATACTTCAACGAAACCGTTCTTCTTGTATTCTATACGCCACGCACGATCTAAAGGCGACATAAATACGTATGTCGGGGAAAATTTATCGTAAAAATTTCGGGCCACACGACAAACATGGGAAAATCCTCGATGGGACGATAATAATCATGGAAATTAAGCGATGTGGCACACATTCAACGTATTCGAACTCGCTATTCTTGGATCGATCCGTAAGCATACTACCTTGCTGCAGGGTATTGAGAATTTTTGTACTTGAACTTTGGAAGTTATCACGAAAGATTTTCTTCCAAGAATAGGAAACATTAAAAGATATTCCACGAATATTTAGCGCAAGCGCTTCTCCTGACTGTGTGTTCTTGACAAAGTTTTTTTCCTCGTGGCAGTTTATTGCAAGAACTGTCATAATACTTATTTGCATTTAACATTATAGTAACTTCCAAAAGTTCGGAACATTTTATCTTCTCTTTGTGTTGCACTTCTAAGGATAATGTTGCAGAATTATCAAAAATTTTGTGAAAGTTCAAACGTGAGGCACATTACAGCCTGTACATTTATATCTTTATTTTAATATCTAAATTTTTAATTTATCTTTTTTCTTGAGCGATATGCGTGACGTCAGAAGTGAGGTGCCTCAGGCTAAATATTTTCAAAGCGTTTATAAAAGTAAAAAGCCGGCGCGCTTAAAGCATCAAAGCTGCAATAATGTAATAAACTAAAGCTCCGGCAGTACTAACGTTCTTTTGTTGCATGTGCTTAAGATTCGTGATATCCATTTTAATTCAATATCAAAAATCAATAAAAGGTATCGATTTTTTAATATAATAATTAACTTCCACAGACACGTGTAATCTTGGAAAATAATCGACAAATCAATACAATAATATATTGATTAAAGATACATGTATACATAATATCTCGTGAGTTTTCCTCTATGTTTTACAGAAACCGCGATGTAGTAAAGAAAACAAATTACAAACAAGGATATAATATTTAAGATAATATTATCATATAAAATCATAATTAATATGTACTTTATCGATCATTATATATAGAACATGATATTTAAAAATCATTTCACAGAAATAATTACATTAATTCACAGATTATTATTTCTCAACACTTGCTTGATGATTCTTATATATATATATATATAGTTGTTGAAAATGAATATTAAAAAATTATAAAAGTTCCATCACGCATAGATTTTGAGAAATCGAGGACTTTGTTTTTCAAAAATCTATAAATTTTTTAATAATATTAAAAAAAATTTTTTTTTACATTACAAGGTAAAAAACACAAATTATCATTCAGGTGTTGAGAAACGGAAATTTTTTAAATTAGTATAACTTTTAACATTGAATACATATTGTTAATCTTATAATTTTACTGTATCACTTAAAATTATACATAAACAATAAAAGAAGCTTCATACCATCACATTAAGTTTTACATATTGTAAAAAGAATAGCTATATATAACATGGAAATTTGCGTTATTAGAATATTTAAAAATTCAAGAAACTACAGCTTTTAAATATTAAAGGGTGATGACATTTTTTAAAAAACATCTTTTCTCAGTAAAAAGGCCAACAAGAAACACTTACTATTTGATGAGAAATAAAATAATATTGATCAAAATTGATTATTCAATACTATCAGTATAGAAAGGGGTTACATGCTTTTTCGTGTAACAGGATTAACACACGAAATAATTAACATACAAAATAATTGAGTAATTTCAATACCAAAGATATAAATGCTCGTCGGGAAAAATCGGGGGAGAGGAGAGAGAAGTTATATGTACTTACAGGAATATTAACCGTGACACTTCCTCGTTATAATTATTCGACTTACACAAATTGTGCAAGTTATTTTGCGAACGACTACCGTCAACTGATGACGGATCGCGGGGTCGATCGATCACGCGTAAAGGAAACTTAATGAACTTGTCCCGTCTTTAATGCGATATTCGACTCACGTGATGTGTCGTGCGTGATTGAATGGTGGCTGCGTGACAAGCGTAAGACGAGATTTTTCATGGGTTTCCCTAAGGTTTTCTCATGCTTAAAATGTGGACGTTGCCATGCTCACGGCGCTCACATGACTCGCGAAGGGAGTCACTGAGAGAGATAAAGTGGAGGAGAGACTAGAACATTTTGGTTCTCTCGCGATCAACAGCGCCGTAAGACAAAGACGTAAAAAACAATATACATGATACGTATATGTACATATATGTATAATATATATACCATCGGTTTGCAAACATGCTTAGTTAGACGAATGACCAATTACCATATTCTCATCCTAGGCCTCAACGGTGGCCTTCTGGTTAAGCATAAGAAAAATACGATGCTTTACTAATGACTGATATGTTAATGATAGGTGCACGAAGTACATTCTACGAGTACTCTCGCCTGAGAAAGCGTACGTTTCCCTTCAATAATCCCGTCTCGCATTTAGGATTATATTGTAACACTGCGAGTAATATCGCGTACGCTTAACACGTTGTCTGCCCAGTAATTCTTGTATAATTTATCGTGTATGCAACAGTAGAATTTTCATTATCATAAATAATGATAAACTATTGCGTGTAGCATGATTAAATAAAATTTTATTCTCACGGGTATGTGAATTATGCACATTTTTACTTCGAGTGGTTATTCAGCTATGTCACTCAAAATGTTTAATTGTGTATAATATGGATCAAATGAGACTGTATCTTTATAATGCACGTGAAGAATGATTTTGCTAAAACATATAACATTTAGCTAGATACAGATCTGAAAATACATAATTTTGTTGGATCGTTCAAATAATTATATAGGAAATTTAAATGTGATGCAGTAATACTGCAAAAAATTTGACACTCTAACAGCTTAAATGTTCTACATAATTATTTTGAATGTTCAACGAAATTATTTTTAGTTCTGTATTTAGCTAAATGTTTAGATACTTCAGCAAAACTATTCTTTCCGTGTATGAATTGTGCATTTTTTATTTTACGTTATCTATTTATATCATTTAAAGCTTTATAGTTATTTTAAATAATAAATTAATTTATTTTTTGATATTTTTAAAATTTTCAATAGCACTTGCAATCAACATGTGTTAATATTTTAGAAATTTAATATTTAAACACTTAATCCTTAGAATTACTTTAATGTCAAATTCTATTTTGAATGAGGCTTATTGTACGAGTATAAAGAAGTTTGTTGGAAAAAGGTGTTGACAGTTGTGAGTAAAAAAAATAGCATTTTTCGTAAATTTTGACTTTCTGGATGCAATAAAATTATTAAAAAATTTGTCGTGCTTCGGAAATATAAAAAAAATTGAGCACAAACACATGTATCCAAATTTTAATGTTCTTTTTCAATTTTCAATATATTCCCCAAACGTCACAAATACTTTTTAATAACTTTATCGTATTCAGGAGATCAAAATCTATTAAAAAAATTATTTTTTCTACTTACATCTTTTTAAGCAAAAATGAGCTCTTTTTTAACATCTTTCTTTGGATTGAGTGATTCAAAAAATTTATTTATTCGGTTAGTCAATGCGAACTATCAAGAAAACTGCAGCAGCGAGACAGGAAATTAAAGGATTACGTTCGGAAAAAATTAGGGCTCTTCGACAATTGCTTCTTACTGCTTTCATTAAGGTCGCGCGTAATAATACCGCGGTGGAGCAGAGCACACTTGAAGCCTGCTTGTAGATTCGATGTTTTCCGAGGTTTGCGATATCAAACAACAAGAGATCCGTGAAAAAGAGCTGGCTTTTGACAACGATTTTTAATTAAAGAAAAGTCGATGTAAAAAACGGATTATTCCGGCGAACTTGCGCCGGGTGACTCTCGAAGAGCGCCCGATTCTTACGGCGAGTTTCGAGTTTCGATGCAAAGTGTTCGAGAGAAAAATCCACAAATATCTGCACTTCGCATTCATTCCACGTTTTTTTTTGTCTTCTAAACGCTGACGCGACCGTTGCAAAGTGCTGGTTCAAAGTGATACGATCTACGTCCTACGAACTTCTTTTACCATTTCAACGTGATTATGTAATGCGTTACGAAAGAGATGATGCATTTTCCTATCAGATGCTTGAATGTAAAGATAAGTAACTTCATAATTCTTCAAGCATAAAGTGTCTAAAATGGATCTCATAAATTTTACTCATTCTTATATTTTTTCACAAATTATATTCTTTTAAGTAAAAAAAGTTTTAGTAAAAGTGTGAATCGCATTCCATTTTTTACTACTAACTATTTATTATAAATTATATGAGTTTTACTTTAGCGTAATTTCCTTTTTTCCTTTTAAACTAACGTGCAATGGAAATTTTGACACAGCTCTAGTCCCCAATTTTTCTTTCCCAGATATTTTAAAATAAATCTTGCAAATTATGATTTTTCCTCATTCCTTTGTCACTTTGATTTTTACTAAATCAAAAAACAAATATAATAATGGACTGTCGAAATTCAAACACTAAGAATTTAACAAAGGGCAAGTGAGAGTAAATAATAATAATAATAACTACGCTATCAGAATTAATTTAATATTAAAGACAAAATATTATCTTTTTAATAAGTTTCAGGACATGTTGACTGACTTCTAGTCATCTTTAGCGATTCAACACAATAAAATTTTATAACATAACATAAAATAAAACAACGACGAATACATAGCAAACGCAAGTTTATGAACGTTTTGTTATTCTTGACGCTTCCTCAGCCGACAAGCACCCAAAAAAAATTAAAGTAATAGTCAAATAAATTTAAAACATTATTCTTGAATATATATATATATGACAACGTGACGTGTCATATTTCTTTCCTTTTGTGGCTTCCTTGTTCGATTACATCTGATTGTTGTCATTTTGGACTATGACAAACGTTGCACTCCTCCAACATGTATTGAGAAGGGTGGTTTGGCATGATTGCGGTCGGCTGAGGGAACGTCAAGAATAACAAACTTGCGTTTACTATATATATTCGTAAAATTATTTTATTTTATGTTATAAAATATTTTATTATGTTGAAATCACTGAAGATGACTGGAAGTCAGTCGAAAGAAATTATTATTATTTACTCTCACTTGCTCTTTGTTAAATTTTTAGTTTTCTAAATCATATTCTTTCATTAAAAAAAAAGTTTCAGTAAAACAGTATAATTGAGTTACATTTTTTAATCATTATTCACAAATTATATATGAACTGTACTTCTGCATAATTTCCCTCTTTTCCCGACGCTTTGAACCAACATGCAATGGAAGTTTGACAGCTCGAGTCTCCGATTTCCCTTCTTGAACACTTCTGCAGTAATGGATATACTCGAGTATGTAAAGCGAAGTATTCTGCAAAGTCGCAAAAGGGCACTAACTTGAACGAGGCATGGAGCTCCTGGCGAAGCGTCAGCGGCCTGTTCTCCTGCGTCGGAGTGTTTTGCGGCGTGCCGGGTCCACTTCCGGAGCCTCGTTTCTTCAAGACACTCTTCAGCGGCACAGCGTGGAACTTCGGTTCCTTCGCCGGTATTTCTTCGACACGAGACGTATCGATCGCGGGATCAGGCTGCGACATCCTGAAGAGGTACATATTGTCGTCCTCTTCTTCCACGTCGCCATCCTCCTCATCTATCGGGGCAAACAGTAAGAAAACTTATATAACCGAGAGAATTCGAGTCAACGAAACGCAATTACTTTACGTTTGATTTATACTTAGAAATCAAATTTATATAAATTTGTACACAATCAAAAAGATCGGACGGCTAATTTTTTATTTACCAAAGCTTGAAAAATTCAAGTAAATACGCTGCCGGATGTTGAAATTGTAACATCAAAAAGTAGACATATGATCAGAACAAAATTCTATATCGTTATTCATAATGTCAAATTATACTCAATTTGAGATATTTCTAACAATTTCTATAGATCACTATTCCTACTTAATATATCATTTTAACTAAAACAATGGAATTACAATACCTACAAGAATTAAGGCTTGTATTTAAGCATATATTCATTGGTGGCTATACTTAATATTAAATTACAAAATATTGTTATAAGACAGAATATTTTTTAATATAAACTTTGCAATAAATATTTTGAAACCGTAATCATTTGTTTAATTCATATTGTTTTTTCTAACATATGTAGTTGTAGATTTTGATTCTAAAATGGAGTTAAATTTTGATATTTCTTTCTTGATGTTGCAATTCCAATATCCGGCAATATATATATCTAAAATAAATTCTGTGATTTGTATAAGAAATAAATGCATTGTATAAATAAAATAAACAAATAATATAATATAAATAAATAATATAATATAAATAAATAATATAAACCTGTAAACGCGTTGATTGCTCTTTCGGATTCATATAATTACACTACGTGTTGGGATTAATTTGTAGATATTCAATGACACATTCGTAACAATCGATAGTCAGTAACTAAGCAGACGTCATGGTAGCGGAGGCAAGCATGATGTCTGGTTAGTTATTGATCAACGCAACAGAAAATTGCGATTATCAATTAGCACAACCTGATAATTAACAACGGAATTAAATTCCCAATAATGAGATAAAGAGTATTAAATAATTCCATAATAATACTCGTCGTTATTGTGTGATCGTAATTTTATAACTTTATATATAGATAAAAATCAAACTAATAGAAATTGGAAGAGCACGCGTTGCTGCTTATACGGAACACTACTGATTTATCGGCCATCTTAGAATCGTGCCAACGACAGGAGACTAATAAGCAACGAAGGGGTTCCATCATGTGATTAATTGCTCCAATTAATTGCTCCAATACTTTCCTCTTCCGCGGCATTAATGTTTCGTTACAGACACTTACCCTCGTCCTCGCAGTCCGAGAGCGGTATTTGCCGTTGTCTCGCCAACAAAGTGGGACTCGGGGAGCTGAACATGGGCGGGGGTGGTATAGGGCCGATTTCGCTCAACGGTATCGGCGGCTCTGGGAGCTCCGACAGCATCAGGGTATTCTGAGGTGGTAACGGGTAACACCTCTCGATTACCTGCTGATTGTCGGCGCTCTGATCTAGCACCCCCTTGTCCACTGAAAACAGAAAAAAAAACGTGACATGTAATATCACATCGAGATAATTGTACATCAAAATTGATGCTACTATTCCGATAATTAAGTTTTATTAAGGGGGTAGTTGGGTATGAACGACCATTTTTTAAAGATTTTATTTAACACACAAAAAATTTATTTTTCGAAAAGTTACGAATACCATTTGAAGGAGACTTAATAAAAGATATATAAGATATTTTTTTTTTTTTTTTTTTGG